AATCTCCTCAGGTCATGTGAAACTCAGCTGTTATGAGGCGTAATCCTGCTGTCGTAGATAACTCAATTTCACCATCTATTGGGATGCGTTGTTAATTAGAGCAAATCAATGGCCTATTCACCGTTTTTCTATTGTTTCTGTTAATCACTCTTCGTCACCTGACTACCCTACTGATGACCTATGCTATCCGTTATCCAAACCTGTTGTCTCGTATTTGACGCCATAGATCATCGTCAGTAGGATGGGCGAATTGAACAGATTTTCCTTCGTCCATATGGCAGCTCTTTTCCAATAGCTTTGCTATGATTCGATTAAAGCTGGCCAACGATGTGTTGTTTAGCTGAAATGTTGGAGTAAGGTTAGAAGCCTGTAAGCCATGTAGTCACAGATTCTCATGCTTCATGAGTTTCAGTCTGAAAACACGATGCAGGGTCCATGCTGGTTCTCTGCAGCATATGTCGCACGATATAGAAATTGTCTGAAATGTGCTTAATGAGTTTATTTTAGCGCCATCCTCCCTGAACCTGGAAACGAAAGAGATGGACATCGCTTACTTCAGCTTTTCGGTCGACACCATGAACAACTACATTCACAAAGCGTATTTGCACTTCTACGTCCAGCCAACGTTGAAAAAGCTTGGGAAGTCTGGAGTGAAACCGATGCTGCAGAGGATCCATCTCTACCGCATCGACAACAGACATGGAAAAGTAGTCGGCAGCTTGATGAACGAGTGGCAAAAAGTTTACAGTACCTAATTTTGTAGGAAACGCTGCTCGACAAAAAGGAATACAAGGCCGCGATGCACACCGAGGGATACTGGGACAAGTTCAACGTCACTCGCTTGGTCCAGGACTGGTTCCTGAAGCCGGAGCGCAACTTCGGTGTAGTCGTCAGAGTGATGGAGAAGGAAATCAGTACAGTTGTGCATCCTAACATCGGAAAGAACCACGATAAGCATGTGAGTGGATGATTAGATGAAATTGGCGCTTCTTTCATGCCTCGTTTTGCGATTCCTTCTTTAAAGTACAAACCAGGCATATGCTTGACAACTTCAAACCTTTCACTCAAATGAAATAATAGCTTTTTAAGTCAGCATTGTGCCCTACAATCATCGGAAAGAATTGAGATGACCTTCAGGGTTGCATCGAGGAGTGATACAGGTGGTTTTTCTACATTCTTTTGGCATCACTGCATCTCAACCGTAGTTAAGAATTCAATACGGAGAAGGACGGTGGGCACTCCAAATTGCCGGTTGATATCTTCTTTTCATTTTCCATCAAACAGATGTCCTTGGGCTACGTGAACTTCTCCATCTACTTCGCTGCTTCTCCGTTTATGTGAAGAGAACAAAGGGCAGGAGAACGAGAAACCTGTAGGCTTTTCGTTTTACATGCATTCACACGCATGCCGGCCACATAACACTCGGATGCGAAGTTGTCCATAGAGCGCTAGAGATCAGTTTCTGAAGATGCCAACAAAACAAGGTAATCTGTAGACATAAATTTTCATTTTTCATTTTCACATCTCCTATGCTGATACATTCTTTCTTCCGGCTGCTCATGTCAATCCTATGTACGTACAACAGAAGCAGAAGAGGGGACAGAACGCAGCCTTTACAAAACCAATGAGAACAGTGATAGGTCTCGACTTAACACCATTTATTCTTATGCAACACTTGTTATCAACATATAGTGACTGAATGGCTCATAACAACTGGTCAATGATCCCATATGTATGCTGGCACGCCAATAGCTTGTAACGCTGGATCGCTTCACAGGCTTTCTCCAGGTCAACAAAGCACATGTAAACCGGATGAGCGAATTCCCACAATTTCTCAGCAGTCTGATGTAAGGCATAAATCTTGTCAGAGGTGCTTCGGCCTGACCTGATTTACACCAAATGATCAAATTGCTGAAACCTATGATTAACGGCTACTCAAAGCTATTTCAAATTTTTTAACCGATGACCAGCGTATGGATGAGATTATTGTCTCTCTAACACTGTTGACGAAGACGTTGCTCCACGGAATAAATACACATTCCTTGAGACAAATTTATAATTGGGTATTGGATTACTCACGGCCCTCAATTACAAATATTAGAAAAACTACCACTGTGAGTTTTTCCTTACGCGCAGCTTGGCATCAAATTAAAGATCAACGGATTATGTTGTAAATAATTTTTACCGATTTTAGTCAATGTACTTAAACATCGCAGTGGAAGACAAACGAAACAACCGACGCAAAAGAGAAGCGGCCCCGAAAACGGACTGTCAAGAAGGCGAGAGTTACTTCAAGTGTTGCAGGTACCCGTTGGTGATAGACTTTGAAAGCTTCGGCTGGGA